TTCGTTGTTTTCACTCTTTACATCTAATTGAAGGTTTATTCTCTAAAAATAATTGTTTTCTTCTCTTCAAATCAGAGTTTTATTTATTTATGGTATCTAAAACGTTCCAAATATACCCAATGATATAAAAAAAATTATATTAGTCTGTTTCGGTGTCCAATTGTCCTGATGCGTTTTCAAATATTTTTTGTTAAAAATTGTGAAAAACTTCAACCAAAAAAATGCGAAAAATTTATTGTTGTATCAATCAGATTTTCAAGTTTATCATAGACGAGAAGTTTTTTTTTTAATTCAAGTCATTGTCGAAATACATGAAAAAAGAAAGAAAGATAACTCAAAGTGAACATAGACCTAACATAAATTTTGATATACGCACTTTAGCATTTTTTAAACAAAAATCACTTTATCCGTGGTAAACTTAAGATGTAGCTTTCTCTAGATTAAAAGAATCTTTTGAAATTTGATTCTTAAAATACGACTAACATTTCAGTACCCTCCTTTTTCAATATAACAAACAACTGCTAGCCTCTTCAATAAAAAATAAACATATACATGTATGTACACTACCTCGAAATTAGTCATTACCAAAATTTATTTGTTAAAAACCATTCTGCTTTTACGCACAAACAAAATAGTCTGCCAATCTTTTGGATGTTTGATTATCTAAAAACGTCGATGGTCAACTAAGATCTTAAGTCTTTATTAATAAATGGGCCTTGTCATGATCGCGAAATAACGGGAAAATCTGTCGTCAATTCAGTGTTTAAATAATGAACTAACAATTAATATAAAAAAACGTCAGTCAGCATTTGTCTTAATGATAAATTGTATTTGCTGACAAGGTGATTGTATCGACCATAGAACGTACGAAATGCCAACTTTAAACGAGACTGCTCATATTCTTGTTCCATCAACTTGTTTGTCAATAATTTACCTCGTTTTAGAAATTGTTCATACGTATATATAGTATGTTCTTGCGCATCGAATCAACTGAGATATATAAACTCCGTATGCAGGTGATGAAGGTATTTGCTGCGTAAGTAAGGGAAGTTCACAATTGAAAGTCAAATTCATCACTTTTATCATACAGCTTCGTTGTTAGATTACCATTAACGTCTTCTTCAAGTAAAATATCCAAGTATGAAACAGATGTGTCAGACTCTGTGGTATCTTTTATGTCAAGCTCACCGGGGTATATCGTATCGACATAGGAATGGAAATTACCATTGTTAATTGACAGTACGTCGTCGATATATCTAAATGTTGAGTTGAAGGCCACAGCAAGTGTTTGCTTTTTATATATAAGACTTCACAAACTCCGCTTCATATGAATACAAAAATAGGTCTGATAATAACGGATGTAATCGGTACCTATGGAGATTCCAATAGATTGTTGGAAGACCTGGTCTCTAAAAACCACATAGATATTGTCAATCAGAAACTCAAGCATCTTTTATGTCAACCTCAGAGTAATTGTGTATGCATTCAGTATGTGTTTTAACAAAATAATTTGCAAATGACCAATGAAAGGTAAGTAAATTTTCGAGTTCCAATTTTATTAAAAAGGCAGCTGTGAATGATACCAAAAAGTCTGTACTTTAATTTGTCGTTGGGAATGGTTGAAAAAAGTTGAAAAGTCGTAAGTTTTTAAGCTGTTGATTTTGGTAAATTCTTGTGATTTCAAATTGACCAAAATTCTTTGGAATTTTTGAGTATCCACAGAGACAATGTTGTTACCTGCTTTGTCAGCAGGGACCAGTACGTACTGATCATGTAATCTATCTAGTTCTTTTTTCACTTCTGGATTATTGAAGACAGAAGGATGATTTTCATATTGCCCCTCAATCTTTTAATACGCGATTTCAGCTTGGTTCTGATACATTTAATCCATTCTGACAAAGTGCCAACGTTTTCTTTTTCATATTTGGCCCATCGTCTGGCGTAATCTTAAACGGAATCCATAACATTTATGAAATTCCGACGCCAGTTGAAGGATCGGGGTTCCATATATATTTTGGACCTTTTAAATTAGTTATCGAAGGTGCTCATTAAAAGTGTTCCTATATTTACGTCACCTATAATAATATGCCCAGGGGGTCTGTAGTTATATGGTGAATAGGAACATGAACACGATGGAGGATTCTATTTCAGATACTCGATATTCAGGCCATGGTCAAGTTTGTTTTGTAATCAAAATGTTTTGAAGCAATGGTTGATGTATTTCACACATTCAATGGTCAACAAAAAAAAACTTGTTTATAATTACAACCTATCGTTGCTTTATATTTTGACAGACATGACATTCTTCATTCTCTTTTCATTGATTTATGCTTATTTTGACTAGTTTTTCTGAATACAGATGATTCTTTGTGGGTGTGACAGAGCAACAAAGGATGCTTCTTACTGCTACCCACCTGATCCACCTGTGATGTATAAAGGGTTCCGTATTTTTGTTCTGTTCACGATTCGTAATGTTTACAGGATTTATTTTTAAAATATTGTAGGTCATTGCATCGACCATAGAACTGCGAAATAATGGCGTTAAACGAGACTGATGATATCCTGTTTGTCAATAATTTACCTCCTTTTTAAAAATTGTTCATAAGTAGAATACGCTTTTGCGTATCGAATCGACTGAGAGATATAAACCCCTAATACAGGTGTTGAATGTATATTGCTGCATAAGTAAGGGAAGCTGACAATTAAAAGTCATCCATGTCAATAAGCTTGGTTGTTAGAATACCATTAACGTTCCTTTCATGTAAAATATCTAAACAAGTAATAGATGTGCCAGACTCGATCTGTGGTATCTTTCATTTTCAAGCTCACCGGGATATATGGTATCGACATAAGAAAAACATGAAAGTACTGTAGTTTATAACATCTATGATTGGTGTACTGTTGTTCATTAATTTACAATTATTTAATGTCTGATTATGCAATAGACCAGAGTAGTTATCCCAAGGTGCTTGGAAAAATTTCTAAGACCAAAAAGAAACGCCATACATTGAGCTGTTTACAGCACCTTTGAATAATATTCTGGTATTTTTCTTTACTTTAATTGCGCTGCAATATTAGCAGACATATTTTTGTATTCATGTGAAACAGAATTGGTCCAAAATCTTCTATGTAAAAAGAAGAAAACACTTACAATGGTCTCCAGATCGATATTTAGATATTGACGACGTATTGTCAATAACCAATGGTAATTTCCATTCTTATGCAATATGATATATCCCAGTGAGCTTGAAATAAAAGATACCACAGTGTCTGACACATCTGTTTCATATTTGGATATTTTACTTGAAAAAGATGTTCATGGTTATCTAAGAACCAAATTCTATGATAAACGTGATGAATTTAACTTTTCAATCGTCAACGTCCCTTGCTTATGCAGCAATATACCTTCATTGCCTGCATACGGAGTTTATATAAACTCAGTTAATTCTTTTTGCAAGAACATGCTCTACGTATGAACAATTTCTAAAACGAGGTAAATTATTGACAAACAAGTCAATGAAACTAGAATATTAGCAGTCTTGTTTAAAGTCATCATTTCTTAAGTTCTATGGTCGATGCAATGAAATTGTCAGCAAATACAATTTTTCATTGAGTCAAACGCTGACTGACGTTTTCCATATTAATTGTTAGTTCATTATTTATACACTGAGTTGACGGCAGATTTTCCCGTTATATATTTCCCGATCAAGCCAAGGAACACACAGTGGGCGTGACCGGTCGGTAGGGAAGCTCACTCCTCCATGGCACCTGATCCCACCTCCAATGTTTTGGAAACCCCTGTTTGCTCTGCTTCTTTTTGCATTGTTTTATGGATTTTGTTCTTCATTAGTACAGACAGGGGTTCTGTCAACACTCTCTCTATGCTTTTGAATCTTTTATATAAATAAAATTGATCATATACTGGTAATTTTGATATTTCTTCCATGTACTCTAGCTCTATTCAATAAAAACAGAACATTCAATAATAGTTTGAAAGTTTGTAATCTTTTTGTCAAAATGAGCGATTACTTATTTACTAATCCAAATTATTTTTAAGCAAAACATTTTTGTCTTTTTTTCCTTTAGTGCAACTTTTCAAAGGATATTCTTTATAAATCAATTATTCTCAAATGGAGAATTTTAATTTTATTTACATCCATAGAAGAAAACCATACAATGTCCATGTCTGTTCCGGATTGTGAGGTCGGTCAATACGCCTACCGGATGTTTACAATTACATGTTTATATAAGTTAAGTAATATGGCTTGCATTGTGTGTTTGCAATATGTCACCTTTTTCTGATATAACTCACCTGTTGCTTTGGGATATAAACTACTAATATTACGATGTACATATATTTGGATGAATAAAACAGTTCAAATACTTAACCATATCATATTGGTATAAATAATTTATTTCATTTTAATGTCTTGTTCTTTACTTCATTTTTTTTTTTTGATAAGGTGGACTTTAAATATTGTTTAAAATGAAAATCGATGTCTTTTTCAAGCGAAGAAGCAAATATTTGCATTGTACAAGTGAAAATGTTGAATTAGCTTACAAGTGCTGCAATAAAATATTTTTTCTTTTGTAAATTTGAAATGATTGATATATATTCGTGATAACACGATACATTTGAACGGACCAAAGAGTTGTGCATCATCTTTTGGAATCTTGCATTAAATTTGTTCTTTACGCTTCATACATGGGGTCAGTATATTATTAAGTATGTAGGCCTACAAATACCTGTGTTGTTGGTACGCTATAGTGTGACATTTGAATGTAATCTTTTTAGAACGGATTACAGACGTTTCGGTGTATTGAAATAAATTCCAATCCAGATTATGAATTATAAATATTAATTTCTCACAATCGCCACAGCAAAGTCTGGGTCAAGTCTCGAGTTAATCAATTCAACAATTATCTTCATTGTAACAGATGGTATTAATACTTAATGAAAACTCTGTGCAGTGTAGCGAGGAAAGTCAATAATATTGAAAGCAAACAGCCAAAAAAGATGTTCATTTAAAAACCCTTAGAGATTAAAAAACGATGTTTTTGGTTGGTTTATCGATTTCACACGGATTGATCGCGTTGGTTCCTGTCTCAGTACATGGCGTGGTATCCTGAATAAGGGTCCCTCTTGTGACTCGTGTTATTATCTGGCTCGTTATCTTAGGAGGTGGGACAGATTTTATACCTGTCATTTGTGGCTTGCCTGGATACCATTAATATACATCTTCATCAGCCCTCGGGGAACTAACGATTTATTTGTTTTCCATCGAGTGTTGGTGTGGGGAGTTTTGATCCAAGTGGAACAGGCCGTTATAAGGTAAAGCAGAAAGGTGCAAATGCACTGTCGTATCTGTTCAGGTTTGATAAATTTCCCGTCGACGCCCGCGGCTACATAAAAACTAAATCATTATTTATAAAGATAAAAGGCAAATTGTGTGTATGGTAAATACCTAAGGACTTTTGAAGCTGCCTTTTCCTCGGAGTATAAACAACCAACATGATTCCCGAGTCAGTCAGTGAATCTGTGACAAATGTCCCAGTACCGAACTATCGGGAGGACTCGGACATCAGCGTCCTTTTCTTCACGGCAATGAAGAGGTTCCACGAAGAAGTGGATTTCAAACCGGTGCTAAGACCTGTCAATCACGAAGATACAATCGTGTGTTTCAAGGACTGTACAAAAAAGCGGTATGTCAGCAAGACTTACTACGAACCGAGGGTAAAACCGAAGGTTTTCTCGGAAAGTATGGTGATATATCCGAAACGACCGGAACGGACATTCGTGACTTTGTTGGATTACCATATAGAGGAGTGTAGAAAGTGGTATAAGACTACCTTGGAATTCAGAGCCCGGACTTACACGAGCAGTAAGATCATGAAGGACAGTGGGTACGGTTCTGATCTGGATTCCTCGAGTGATGAGGAAACAGAGACCAAACAAACAGACTCTGGACCCGGAGCGTCGTCAGTGTACATCCCACGCTTTGACAAATGGCAGTCAGAAACTGAGGACTTCGGGGAACTCGAAAAACAGATTCTAGTCAATGGTTATGATGATTATGAATGCTAGGTGTAGATTAATTGTAGATGAATAATTGAACCTGTAGCATAAATGGTACGTTATGTTATGATAGTGTACAAGTGAGGATTTCTTGAAAGGGTGTAGAAGAGTTGAATGTTTTTTTTATTTATATAATCTGAGTTAATTTTTAAAAATATTTTTAATTGAACAGCGAACATTCCATTCTTCAGATAACTCAAACTATGTTGTGTGTATTTTTACATGTTGTAAAATGTCACTTGAATTTTTTAAATACCGTACAATCTTTGGATAAATATCTTTGCATAAAATTCACATTTAAACTGATTAATAATGCTAATTACTGTGTAAAACTTTACCTTGTTTGTTATTATCTGTTATTATTAAAGAGTAATAATTTATAAAGAAAAATAAACAATTGAATTTAAGTTTGAACATGTTTTACTTTAAAACGTTTGAAATTAATCTTTTTAAATGTCCTTCCTTTTCTCCAAGAAAATATAATAAGATATGTTCCAAATGAAACCAAAAATGCCTAAACATATAAATGTTTCTAAACAAGGAACAAAAGTGTGTGTATGGCTTTGATTTATGACGTCAATTTGAAAACCTGTATTTGTTATTGCATAACAAATCTAAAATTAATACTGTCACGCCCTTCTAACCAGACAACACGTCAGAGACAACTTTTTGAATTTTTAAATCTTTGCAAAGTCATCAAAAAATTTAAAATGGGATTGTGATCAATATTTACCACATCCTAGGAATTTATATTAAGTAGAACATTGCGTGTGTTAAACATCGTACCTCTATGTGTAATTAATCAACTAGATGGAATGTTGATTATTGAATAAACACAGACCTCCACTGAAATGAAATTTAAAGTAAAAAAAAAGAAAAGTCTAATGCTTTGTATAGTGATGTTGGACACAAATGATTAAACTTGAAGTTAATGTTGATTAATTAGAGAGTATATAAAAGCTTTATTATGTAATTCTATTTGGTTGAAGAAAAAAAAAGAACACTTTTTATGAATTCACTATAGTCTGGTCCTGATTTTTAAAAAGAAGGCTAGAAATAACTTCTAACGGCAAATAATTATTATTTGGTCCAGCATAGTTTTTTAACCTATTTCAAGTATGCTGAATCCGAAAAAATATGCTGGCCTTCATGAAAATGACGTTAAAAAGGTCAAAATGGCGATTCAAAATGGCGGACATCAAATTTTTTTCTAATTTTCTCTTTATGTCGTTCTAAATGGAGAATTAATGAGTGAATATCTAACTGAGTGTAATAAAACTATAAAAATTATAATAGGATGCTAACATTATTAGTTTAACCCAGAAAATTTAGTCGTTTCTACACTTAATTCGAATTTTCTCAGATTTTTTGTCTGTTGTTCCTATATTTCTTATTTGTTCAGGATTTTACATTTGCAAATATCCATACACTGCATATTTGTATTTTTCCCACTATTCTTCAATTAAATGATAGTGCAGCTGTAAGTCAAAAGTCAAAATGGCGATTCAAAATGGCGGATATTCATCTTTTTCTTCAAATTATTTAATTCTTAATGTCGTTTACATAGGAGAAAGGATTTGTGAATATTTTACCGAGCGTAGTACAACTATGTAAAATGACAATAGAACACTAATTTGATCACTTTAAATTGGAAAATGTAGTCGTTAAATTTGAAATGTGTTAATTAGCTTAAAATGGCATTCAAATGACGTCGTATACACTCGAATTTCGAAAAATACCCAAACTGCTTAATTCTGGTTCGTTTTGCAGAAAATAAATTACAGTTTTTTTATTCATGAAATAATGTTCAAATATGCAATGAAAGTTGGAGGATATTTTTGTTAATGACTTAGGATTTTTATAATATGGATTTTTGTTTAATTACTTCTATTGTTAAGATAAATTTTTGATGAAAATTCCGAAGACATTTTACCTTTTACCTGTCTCACCATGCTTTTTCATATAAAAAGTTAATAATATCATACAATAATTGCTGTTTTGAGGACAATATGAAAATTAAGCTACCCAAGGAGCAGTATCCCCCGAGCATTAAGGCGAGTGAACCTTCAGTTGTTGGAAATTCTTGATCTATTTTTAGTCCAGTGTGGAAAAAAATAAATGTGTATGTTGATGTGGAAGGTCTAGTGCAACATAACTTAGTATGATTTTTAAAATGATTGACCACGACCAATTAGAGGGCTAGTAATTGTTACATCATATAAATCTGAATATATTATAATATCCAAATATAAACATATATATTAAGAATTACCAGTATAATATATGTAAACCATAAATTTTCTTGATTGTTCAGCTCTGATTCTGTGTTCCTACATTTGCATTTTGTTATTCTCAGTCAAAAATTCAACTGCATTCTCAAATATTTCATGCTGTGAATGGATAATTTTGTATTGAACAGTGTATATAAATTACACTATCCTAACAAAGAAGTGTGGATCAAGTTGCCTTGTAAAGTTCTTGAAGTGTTCCAGAAAATTTTGTTGTCAAGAGACGTGTTGACTAGATCGAAATCAGGAATGGCTTAGACCTATTGGTACGAAAGCTTGTAAGTGATAGGAATCACGAGGAATCTGCAGGTGCTCTTAAATTTCATAATTTTACAACTTTTCTCACCAAAATATGCACACAATGTGATTTCAGATGATCAAGTTTGAGAATTTTCTTGCAAACAGAATGACCTTTCTACCCTAAAAGACAACAAATCTAAACGATGTCACAAAATAAAGAGCTACATGTCTTGAATATCAGAGATTTTTTATATGAAAAGCGGGAGAGTATAGAGTAATCGGTATGTCCGTGACGTCCGTCCGTCTGTTACGATTTGGGGTACCCATCTCTTATCTGCAACTCCTCTCATACCACTGAATGAAATTTGATGAAACTTTCACAGAATATTCATTACATATTGACATTGTGACCTCCTATTTTACTTTTTGATCCGACACATATTTTGGGTTTCCCATAGCAAAACATGGACACTGTCATTATATTCATATGAGAGACAGGGGTATCATTTAGTGAGCTAATTGCTCACAGTACCTCTAGTTCATTTTGCATATGGTTTAGGAAAACAAAATAGACTTTTCACATTTGAACATAAATGCGTTGTTCCTTGAGTGTTTGTTGATTGATTGTATATTGTTTAACGCCGAGTCGGCAATCTTTCAGCCATGTTTCGGCGGACTATCAGTTTAAATAATCGGTTTTTGAAGGATTTTGATTTCTCTGGCGCTTACTCTTTTTCGAACTCCAGAGAAACGGTCTTTTACATGCCAAGGGGGTTGTCATCCTTGACACAGGGCACCATTTTACTTGAGTGTTGAAAATACAAAAATTCCAAAGACAGACTGTAGCATATAGCAAATAAAACTGGAATAGAAGATGTTAGGGGATAATAATGAGTTCTTATAAGTGCTAAAAAGCTAGAACAAAGTGTTCGATGAAATCGGACAAGAATCTCTGCAGTAATATTTGATGGTGTGTCGAGGGATGTTGAGGTAGAAGTGCGAGTTGATAATGACAGTATTCGGGAGTGATTTTAGGTGGAAGAGAGCTCAAAAGCCCTGGAACCTAAGTCAAGTTTGTTTGAACTATTTCCAGAAAAGAATGAATCTTTTTCAATTATTTTTTGTTTATATTTACTAGACTAATCAATATACTATATATATTATATATATAAAAAACAAACTGTAATTTATTTTCTGCAAAACGAACCAGAATTCAGCAGTTTCTACGAAATTCGAGTGTATACTACGTCATTTTGAATCGCAATTATGAGCTAAATAACACATTTCAAATTTAAACGACTAAATTTTCGATTTAAAGTGATCAAATTAGTGTTCTGTTGGCATATTACATAGTTGTACTACGCTCAGTAAGATATTCACAAATCCTTTCTCCTATATGAACGACATTAAGAAATAATTTAAAAAAAAAAAGATGAATATCCGCCATTTTGAATCGCCAGTTTGACTTTTAACTGACAGCTGCGCCATCATTCAGTTGTAGAATAGTGAAATGCAGAGGAAAGAATACAAATCTGCGGTGTATGGATATTTGCAAATGTAAAATTCTGATCAAAGCGGAATATAGAACAATAAACCAAAAAATCAGAGAAAATTCGAATTAAGGTTAGAAACGACTAAATTTTCTGAGTTAAACTAATAATGTTAGCATTCTATTATCATTTTTATACTTGTATTACACTCAATGAGATATTCACACATTATTTCTCCTTTTTGAACGATATAAAGAGAAAATTTTAAAAATTTGATGTCCGCCATTTTGAATCGCCATTTTGACCTCTTTAACGCCATTTTCATGAAGGCCAGCATATTTTTTCAGATTCAGCATACTTGAAATAGGTTAAAAAACTATGCTGGACCAAATAATAATTATTTGCCGTTAGAAGTATTTTTTTTCTATAAATCGGACCAGACTACTATAGGAATAGACTTAATCAAGAATTAACAAAATCAGTTGTATAGAGAAATCTCTACTGTTAAAAGAAAAACAAATTAAACAATCTCAATGGTTGATTTTCTCTTCTATTTCCTATTCTCTTGTAAAATATTAAAATCATACGGTAACCCCGAACTATAATTTGAGCATTCATTATTGTTAGTTCCCCAGGTTCCGAAATCAACCTTCAAGATTCTTATATACTGATATAATTGATGATTAAATGAGTTTCTTTTCTTGGTTTTATTTGGCTGTCTCTACGTAGAAGGGACATATTTAAACTGTTATAGAAAGTACTCTTACAATTGGCAATCTTCAGTCGTGTTCTATGTACAAACTATCCCTTTTCGTAGTTTTGTCTTTACTTCGGGGTCAATAAGTAGCATGAAAATTGGTCTGTTAAACAAGAATACGAGTTGCAAAATAGCTTAAAGTGTATAACACATAAATATTTTTATCTTAAAAAAAAAATGCCTATATGTATAAATTCCTGAGGAGAGGAAAAAGGAGAAGTGAGATATGGAGATAAAGAGCACTATTCAAGCTCGGCATTTATTTAAACACAACAAATCGGTGGCAGAGCAAACAAGGACATCCAAAAACAACAAAGGTGGAATCAGGTGCCCTGGAGGAGTGAGCATCCCCGGCCGACCAGTCACGCCCGTCGTGTGCTCCGTGTCATGATCGGGAAACGAGAAAACCATTATCAGTTGAAAATTTAGTGTGTAAATAATGGCTTACCAATTAAAATGAAAATCTTCAGTCCTCATTTGACTAAATGGTTGTTTTTGCTGACAAGGTCATTGCATCGACCATTAAACTGTATTGTATTGTTTGTCAATCTTGCCTCGTTTTAGAAATTGCTTATATACGTGAAA